AAATGCACTGGGTGTGCACCAAGTCTAGGATGCAAAGGGAAACTCTCTGCTATGAAGCCTGCCAGGTAAAGTCTTTGTAACTGTCTAAAGTTGAGCCTGAAAAATAGTGCAGAGGTTTTTGACCAGGAGCTAGACTCCTCAGTGGTGACTTTTTAAAATATTCAATTTAGTTCATCCCCCACATTTACATTTGTGTTGTGAAAGAAATTCACTTTCGCCAAATTTGAAAAGAGAAAAATAGATATATTTGAAAAATTTGCATCCAAAATATATCATCTGACAGCAAGACAAACCTAAGAAAAGTTGGAGAAATAATAAAGATAACAGCAGATATTACTTTGAATATAATGTAAAACAAACATGAAGGGCAAACAATTGTCAAAGCCAAAAGTTAGTTATTTGAAAATATTAATAATATTGAAAAACCCCTAACACTGACCAAGAAAGAAAATTTAAAAATACAAATCATTGATATCAGGAATGAAAAGATGAAACATCACAGATCCTACAAATATGAGAATGATATAAAATGACCATATTAAAACTTTCAGGCCAACAAATTTGACAATTTGGAAGAAAGAAAAAATTCTCAAAAACAATATACTTTATCAAAGCTGTCATAAGAAGAAAGAAGAAAATCTGAATAGTGTCATATTCATTAACAAAACTGAATTCATTATTTTAACTTTCACATACACACAATACTTAGGCCCAAATACTTATACCAGTGAATTATTCCAAGCACTTGAGGAAAACACCAATTTAGCAAAAAGTTCTTCCAAAGAATGGAATAATAGGTAACATTTCCTAACTATTTTTATGAAGTCAACAAAACATTGATTCAAAATTTTAAAAGAAGAGGAATAGCAGATCTAAATATAAAAGGTTTAAAAATATGCTTTTAGAAGACATGTAGTTCTTTTTAACTTTAGAGGAAAAGACTCCTTAAAGAAGAGACTAAAAACACTAAAGCATAAAAAATTGTATATTGAAGTATATAAAAACTGAGGATTTCTGTTTATTTAAAAAAAAAAAACCATTAAGAATGAAAAACCAGCCGGGCTCAGTGACTCAGCCTATATAGTCCCAGCACTTTGAGAGGCCAAGGCGAGTGGATTGCCTGAGCTCATGGGTTTGAGACCAGCCCAGGCATTTTGGCAAGACTTCGTCTCTACAATAAATAAAAAATTAGCCGGGTGTGGTAACGCACACCTGTAGTTCTGGCTACTTGGAAGGCTAAGGTGAAAGGATCGCCGAAGCCCAGCATGCCGACGCCGGGGTGGCCATGAGTATGCCACTGCACTCCAGCCTGAGGGATGGAGTGAGACTCCAACTAAAAAAAAAAAAAAATAAAGAATGAAAAATCAACCCACAGACTGAGATACTAGGGGAACCCCCCCCAAAAAAACACAACAGAATTTATTTAGAAAAATGTGGATTTATTCTTACATGTTTAAGTTTGTCACCTTCAAAGTACTCTGATACAATACACTTATCAAGATGCTTTTCCACTGCTCAAAATAGTTTTGAACTCATCAATTTTGATGCCTTTTAGCGCTTCTACAATTAAAATGACAAAAAGTTTCCCTTTGAAGACATTTTTCATTAACACAAAATGTAGCTCTGAGCTAGATCTGGTGAATAGGGAGGGTGACACATGGGGGGGACAGGCCGTCTTTGGTCAAAAACTGCTGTACACTCAGTATGGTGTGGGCAAGTGTGCTCATAAATCACTCATCACGAAATGCACAAATGCGTTGAAAGCATTTCCAAATAAATTCACTGAAACCGAGCACAGCCTCTCACAACAATGCTAGCTGGTACATTGATGCCATGGGCTCCTAGAACACTTACTTAATAGGAGAAGCCTGAACTACAAGGGTCCTGCTCTCCAAAGAATAATTCCAGGTTTTTTGGGGTCTCCCTCATAGTCTCAATACATATAATTGACAACACAGGACTCATATTTAGAATATATCAATAACTTTTTAATTAATAAATAAAAGGCAAATAATACAACAGACAAAACTGGAAGAAGATCTGAATGGTCACTTCACAAATAAAGTTATTTATATGGTCCATGAGCAAATGAAAAGATTCCCAATATCATTATTCATGAAGGAAATGCCAATTAAAACCACAATGACTAACTTAAAGAAAGTGAAAAGATTGGAACAAGCTAAAACACTCACAAAAAATTAAAAAGAGGAAATATATTGGAATCATTGAAGATGTCGAGCAACCAGAATTCTGTGGGCAGGAACTGGTACATCTGTATAAAACTGGCAGTATTCGAGAAAGTTGAACATAGAATGAGGGACTCAAAACAAACCGGAATTATCTTTTGGAGGGCAGGTCCCTTGTAGTACACTTGGAATTTGTTTATCCAGATCAAACTGTCAAGAGTTTTTATCTGGACGTTTTGAAAAGGTTGTATCACGATTGGCAGAAGAAACAACTTAAGTGGCAAACAGATGACTGGTTCTTCCATCTTGACAACACACCTGTCCAAACCATGCTGCGTGTTCAGCAATTTTTGACCAAAACAGCATGACCCCCATGCCCCACCCTTCCTATTCACCTGGTTTTGCCCTGAGTGACTTTTGTGTTTGTTTGTTTCCCTGGATTAAAAAAGTCCTAAAAGGGAAACATTTTGTTAATATGGAAAAGGTGAAACAAAAAATGACATAAGCACTAAAAAGCATTAAAATTGACTAGTTCAAAAACTGTTTTGAACAGCAGAAAAAGCATCTGGTGTAATGTATCAAATGGAGAGTACTTTAAAGTTAACTGAAATTTAAACATGTAAAATAAATATACAATTTTTTATAAATAAATTCCATTTGGGAGGAGGTCCCCCCTCATGCTTACATGATCTTTCAGGATCAACCTTAGACAGTTACAAAGACTTTACCTGGCAGGCTTTATAACAAAGAACTTCCCTTTGCATCCTAGACTTGGTGCACACCTGGTGCATTTAAGCCTGTGAAAGTAGTTATAGTCACGGACCCAGGCTTCTGGCCAGCTGTGCTCTTATACATAGCTACATTCCTCACCCAGGTGCCTCCATTTAGAAACCTCTATCTGCCATATCCAGCAGTTGAGAAACTCACCACACCAAGGCTATATAGAACCAAGGGAATCAATCCTACAGTGCCTACATCAGCCCCCTGTCAACCTCAAATAAGAAGAAAATTGTCTGCCCAAATGAGAGGAAGCCAGAAAACAGTTCTGGCAATATGAAAAAGTAAGAGTTCTCCAACACTCCCAAAAGATCACACCAACTCTTCAGCAACAAAATCTAACCAAAATAAAATTTTTGAAATCCCAGACATAAAACTCAAAATGTTGATGACAAAATTGGTCAATAAACTTCAGAAGAAAATTGGAAACCAACATAAATAAATTTTTAAAATATTCAGAACACTGATGAAAAATTCTCCAAAGGGATAGACACCTTAAAAAAAAAAAGCTGCAATTCTTGATATGAAAGAAGTACAAAATGCAGTGGAAAGTTTTAACAGTAGTCTAAACAAGCAGAAGAAAGTATCTCAGAACTTGAAGACAAGGCTTTTGAATTAACCCTATCAGACAACAATAAAGAAAAAAGAATCCAAAGAACAAGACAAAGTCTCCAAGAAACGTGGGATTATGTAAAATGTCCAAACCTAAGAATCATAGGTGTCCTTGAAGAAGAGAAAGCAACAGGTTTGGAAAATCTATTTAAGGCAATAATGAAGAAAAACTTACTTGGCCCTGACAGGGCTCTATACATCTAGATACAAGAAGCCCAAAGAACCCCCAGAAGATTCATTGCAAAAAGCTTATCCCCAAGGTATACAATCATCCAGTCATGCAAACTTAATGTGAAGGAACGAATTTTAAGAGAAGTGAGACAAAAGCATCAAATAACTTACAAAGGTAAATCCATTAGACAAGCCACAGACATCTCGAAATAAACCCTAGAAGCCAGAAGAGATTGAGACCCCATCTTCAATCTTCTTAAACAGAAAAACTGTCAGCCTAAGATTTTGTATCCTGCAAAAGTAAATGTCATAAATGAAGAAGAAATGAAGTCCTTTGCAAAGAAGCAAACAGTGAGGGAATTTGTCACCACTGGACCAGCTCTATAAGAAATATTCAAAGGAGTTCTAAATACTGAAACAAAGGTTGAAATACACCAGTAGATAAACGCTGAAAATCATAAAGTTCACAGGCATTATGGAACACCAACATAATAGAGAAAATAAACAAATAAAGCAAACAGATAACAACCAATATGATAAATAGAATAGTACCTTATATATCATTATTGCGTCTGACCTAAATGGTCTCAATGCCCCACTAAAAAGATATAGACTGGTAGAAAGGATTAAAAAGCACAACCCAAATATGTTCTACCTTCAACAGACCCACTTAACTCACAAAATCTCCTATAGACTCAAGGTAAAGATGTGAGGAGAAATATTCCACATAAATGGAAACCAAAAATGATCTTATATCTGATAAAACAGATTTTAAATTAATGAAAGTTAAAAAAATAATGAAGATGGCTATTATATAATAATAAAGGGAGCAATCCAATGAGAAGACATAACAATTTGAAATATATATGTGCCTAACATCAGAGCCCCTAGCTTTATAAAACAAATTCTACAAGACCTAAAAAAAAAAAAAAAAAACAAGATACTGACACAATAATAATGGGAAACTACAACACTCCACTTATGACTATAGGCAGATCATCAAGGAAGAGAATCAACAAAGGAACACTGGAATTAGACATGACTCTAGAGGAAATGGAACTAACAAACATCTACAGAACATTCCATTCCAAAACTACAGAATGCACATTTTTTTTCATCAGTACATAGAACATTCTCCAAGACAGATCATATGATAGGCCACAAGTCAAGTGTCACTAAATTTTGTTTTCAAGGTTTATTTTATGTTTCAGTTGGTATGACACTTGGATAGATGGTTGCATTGATCTTTCTTTTTACATTATATGGTAATGTACACTGATACAAATAGCACACAAAATAAAATCCTTCAGAACAGTTATGCACAAGACCTGCAATACAGGATTTATACCCTGGATCCCAGGATGTGACCAACTGGAGAAAAACAATTGGACTAGGCATGTTCGGTGAAGGAACCAGGAAGTTATATAACACACAGTAAACACGCATCTGGTTTGAGGGGCAACTGCAGTGTGTGCAGATTGGCAGTGGTGTCTCAGAGGTGGTAAACTATTTCATACTAACCGGTTTAGGACTACACAAGATAAGTACCACCCAGCATCAGGATATAGCTGTAGGGTTTTTACGAACCATTCCTATTTCTAACTTTAGGAATTGATGTTCTTCCCAGTCCATCTTAATATGACTGCTTTAATCACAGATCAAGTGAAAAGGACAGCATGCACAAGCTCCAACTAAAATCCTGGTGTAGCCTAGACAGTGAAGTACTATGACATTAGAAGATTTTAAAATTGCAGCTCTTTTTGGATCCCCCAGAGAGTATCTGCACTCTTCTTCAAATGGACCTCTTCCTCAGGTGTCAGAGTCACCTTCACAAGGTCTGAGATACCATTCTGGCCCAAGATGAAAGGAACACTAAGGAAGACATCATGCTTTATGCCATAAAGACCCTTAATCATGGTGGAAATTGAATGCACCTGCCTAAGATTCTTCATTATACTTTCTGCCAAATCTGCCACAGACAGTCCAATGGCCCAGGATGTATAGCCTTTCAGTTTGATCCCTTCATAAGCACTCTCAACAACCTGTTTGTGAACCTCTTTCCACTGTTCCTTGTTTGTATCAGTGCCTAAATCTGGGTGCAGATTCTTCAACGAGACACCAGCAACATTCACTCCACTCCACACAGGAACACTAGAGTACCCATGTTCTCCAAGGACCCACCCATGACAGCTCAGTGGATGAACTCCCAGCCTTTCTCCCATCAGGTAATGAAATCGGGCTGAATCCAGATTGCAGCCACTTCCAATAACACGGTTTTTGGGAAAGCCACTTCTCTTCCAAGCCACATAGGTCAAGATATCCACTGGATTCTAAATAACAAGCAACTTGCAGTTTGGGCTGTATTTTACAACACTAGGAATGATGAATTTAAAGATGTTCACATTGTGCTGGACCAAATTCAGACAACTTTCTCCCTCTTGCTGACGTGCTCCAGCTATGATAATGACCAGCTTGGAGTTTGCAGTCACACTGTAGTCTTTTCCAGAGACAATTTTTGGTATCCTAAGGAAAAGGCTGCCATGTTGAAGATCCATCACGTCTCCCTTCAATTTGTCTTCCATGACATCAACAAGAGCAAGTTCATCTGCCGAGTCCTTCATTAAGATACTGATGGCACAGTCCATGCTAACAGCACCAACCCCAACAACTGTAATCTTATTCTGGGGGGCCTGTTCTTCCTTTAGAAGATTATGAATCAGCTGGTCCTTGAGAGTTGCCATATTGAACCTTGACCCAAAAGGAATCAGGAGTGCACGCCGTGGGGGTTCAGGGTCACATGGAAATGAGATCCGGACTCGGCGGCAGTGGCTCCAGCCAAATTTTTAAAAATCAAAATTATATCAAGCACCATCTCAGACCACAGTGGGGAAAAAAACTAGAAATTAACTCCAAGAAGAACTCACAAAACCAAACAAAGACATAGAAGTTAAACAATTTGCTGCCGAATGATCCTTGAGTCAGTAATAAAATAAAGATGAAAATTTAAAAATTACGAAATGAATGACAATGAAACAAGTTATCAAAACCTTTGGAACACAGCCAAAGCTATGCTCAGAAGAAAATTTATGGTGCTTAAGGCCTACATTAATAAGACTGAAAGATCACATATTGACCACCTAACATTATTAACACCTTAAGGAACTAGAAAAACACAAATAAACCAAACCCAAAAGTAACAGAAGAAAAGAAATAAAAAAGATTTCAGAGCAGAACCAAATGAAACTGAAATTTTAAAAAACAAGGCAAAGGATAAGTAAAGCAAAAATTGGTGCTTTGAAAAGGCAAACAAAATTCTTAGACCACTAACTAGATCAATTAAGAAACAAAGAGAGAAGACTCAAATTAGCTCAATCAGAAATTAAAAAGAAGACATTACCACTGATACAGTGGAAATTCAGATCATTTAAGACTATTATGAACACCTTTCTGCAAACAAACTAGACAATCTAGAGAAAATAAATTCTTGGAAGCATACAACCCCTCCCCAACCTTGAACCAGGAAGAAATATAAATCCCAAACAGACCAATAACAAATAGTGAGATTAAAACAGTAAATAAAAGTCTATGCGTCACCCCCCCCAAAAAGGACAGGACCTGATGAACTCACAGTTGAGTTCAAACAGACCTTCAAAGAAGAACTGGTACTAATTTTACTGAATGTATTCCACAAAATTGAAGAGGAAGGAATTCTCCCTTACTCATTATATGAAGTCAGTATCACTCTAATGCCAAAGCCAGGAAAAAACACAACGAACAAAGAAAACTATAGGCCAAAAATCCTATGAACATAGATGCAAAAATCTTCAACAAAATATTAGTAAACCAAATTCAACAACACATAAAAATAATAATCATACACCATAATCAGGTGGTTTTTACCCCAGGGATGCAAGGGTGGGTGGTTCAACACATGTGAGTCAATAAATGTGATCCACTACAAAAACAGAATTAAAAACAAAAATCATATGATCATTTCAACAGATGCAGAAAAAGCATTTGCTAAAATCAAGCATCCCTTCATGATAAAAACCTTCAGCAAAATAGGCATAGAGGAAACATTTCTCAAAATAATAAAAGTTATATATAACAAACCCAGAGCCAATATCATCCTATATGAAGAAAAGTTGAACACATTCCCCCTCAGAAGTAGAACAAGGTGAGGAGGCCCACTTTCACCACTACTATTCAACATCATACTGGAAGTCCTAGCCAGAGCAATCAGGCAATCAATCAATCAATGGTATCCAAATTGGAAAAAAAGAAATCAAGCTATCTCTGTATGCCACCGATATGATCTTATACCTAGAGAACCCTGAAGACTTCTCCAAAAGACTCCTGGACTTAATACATGAATTTGGTAAAGTTTCAGGATATGAAATGAGCACACACAAATAATTAGCACTACTATACACCAATAGTGACCATGCTGAGAATCAAATCAATAACTCAATTCTATTTATAATAGCAGCCAAAAAGCTAAGATACCTAGGAATATATTTAACCAAGGAGGTTAAATATCTCTACAAGGAGAACTATAAAACTCTGATGAAAGAAATTGCAGAGAACACAAACAAATGGAGAAACATCCCACACTCATGGATTGGAAGAATCAGAATTATTAAATGATCGTATTAACCAAAGTAATCTACCAATTAAATGCAATTAAATGCAAACTACCAAAATCATTTTTCACAGAATTAGATAAAACAATCCTAAAATTCATATGGTGTCAAAAAAGAGCCAGAATAGTCAAAGCAATCCTAAGCAAAAGGAACAAAGATGGAGGCATCACAATACCTGACTTCAAATTATACTACAAGCTTACAGTAACCAAAACAGCATATATAGTACTGGTGCAAGAGTAGATATGTGGACCAATGAAACAGAATAGAGAATCCAGAAATAAACCCAAATACCTACAACCAATTGATCTTTGACAAAGCAGACAAAAATATACATTGGAAAAAGGACACCCTGTTCAACAAATGGTGCTGAGAAAATTGCACAGCTACATGCAGAAAAATGAAACTTGATCCCTATCTCTTACCATATACAAAAATTAAGTCAAGATGGATTAAAGACTTGAATGTCAGTCCAGAAGCCATAAAAATCCTAGAAGAAATCCTAGGAAAAATTCTTATGGACATCAGCCCAGGCAAATAATTTATGGCTAAAACCCCAAAAGCAAATGCAAGTAATACAAAAATAAATAAGTGGGATTTAATTAAACTAAACATCTTCTTCATAGCATAAGAAATAATCAACATAGCAAATAGACAACCTACAGAATGGGAGAAGATATTCAAAAATGATACATCTGACAAAGGACTAATATCCAGAATCTACAAAAAACTCAAACAACTTAGCAAGAAAAAAGCAAAAACCCCTATTAAAAAGTGGGCAAATGACGTAAACAGACATCATCAAAAGAAAATATACAAATAGCCAGCAAACATGAAAAAATGCTCAATATCACTCATCAATGTGGAGTCAGAATGGCCATTTTTTTAAAAAAATCTAAAAGCAGTAGATGCTGGCATGGATGTGGAATAAAAGGAACCCTTATCAACTTTTGGGGGGAGTGGAAATTAGTTCAACCTCTATGGAGATGGTACAAAGATTACTCAAAGAACTAAAAGTAGATCTATCATTTGATCCAGCAATCTCACTACTAAGTATCTACCATCAGGAACAGAGGTCATTATATAAAAAAGACGCCTGCATTCGCATGTTTATCACAGCACAATTCACAATTGCAAATATGTGGAACCAACCTAAATGCCCATCAACCCATCGGCAGAAAATGAAAATGTAGTATCCATATACCATGGAATACTATGCAACCATAAAAAAAGAATTAAATTGTGTCCATTGCAGCAACATGGATGGAGCTGGAGATCATCATCCCAAGTGAACTGACTCAGAAACAGAAAACACTATATGTCCTCACTCACATATGGTAGCTAAATGGTCACAAAGGTGGAAATAATAGACACTGAGGACACCAACAAGCGGGGAAGGAAGAGGGAGGTTAGGGTTCAGAAACTACCTACAGGAAACAGTGTTTAATATCTGGGGAGCAGGCCATCTGAGTGTTATACCCATGACAGTCTTTACCACTACACAATATGTCCATGTAATGAATATACATGTGTACCCACTGAATCAAAAATAAATAGTTTTAAACACGTCATAACCAAAATAAATCAAGTATTGCCAAAGTAAATACCACAAGACCAATAAGCACATTAGAAGATCAGCATTATTAGTCTTCAGATAAATATAAATTAAAAGCAAAATGAGATCCAACTACACACACACTAAGATAATTAAAATTTAAGAAATAACAAGTGTTGGCAAAAATGTGGCACAACTGAAATCCTCAAACATTTCTGGCAGGAGTGTAAAATGGCTCAAACACTTTGATAAACAGTTTTGCAGCTTCTCATAAAGCTAAATATACATGCACCACATAGTTCAATAATTTTATTCCTAGGCATTTAACTTAAAGAAACTTAAATATGTGTCCATACAAAGATTTATTTATAGTACCATACCTTTGTTCACAATAGCTAAAAACTATAAATAACTCAAATGCCCACCAATAAGTGCATGGATAAACAAATTGTGGTGTATTGATGCAATGGAATACTACTTGGCAATAAAAAGGAAAAGACAGCCGGGCTCGGTGGCTCAGCCTGTAATCCCGCACCTTTGAGAGGCTGAGGTGAGTGGATTGCCTGAGCCTGGGCAGGCGAGACCTCATCTCTACAAAAAATCAAAAAATCAGCCGGGCGTGGTAGCGCATGCCTGTATTTCTGGCTACTTGGAAGGCTGAGGCGGAAGGATCGCCGGAGCCCAGCAGGTCGAGGCTGCGGTGGCCAGGAGCGGCCACTGCACTCCAGTCTGGGCGACAGAGTGAGACTTCAACTCAAAAAAAAAAAAAAGGAAAAGACTACTGGCATATACCACAACAAGAATGAATCTCAGGAACATCATGCTGAGAAAAAGAAACCAGCTCAAATTAAAATATACTTTCTGATTCAATAAGAGACAAAATTAATCTGTAATGACAGGAATAAGATCCAAGGTTACTCTTGTAAAGGTGCAAGAGGCAACTTTCTGGGTTGATCAAAATCTGTATCTTGATTATGGTGATAGTTACATGAGTGCATAAAATTATCAGATTCATTGTTCTATACACTAAATATGGATGCATATTATTGCATGTAAATTATACTTCAGTAAAACTGACTTTTAAAAAGAAATGCTAATAAAATTATATCCAAAATATAATATATATAAAGCTCACAAAATATAATTTTAAAAAATAGGACTGAAGCGAATAAGGAGACAAAGGTCATGAACAGAAACAAGTGGCAAAACAGGCCATAGAAATTATTTAACATGAAAAACCATGCAGCCTCACTCATAACCCATGAAATACAAAATCAAGTGACAAAATATATTTACCTATCAAAATAATGAATAAAAGTGTAATGATAACATCCAAAGCAGGATTTGATTTTTAGAATTTTGATATTTGTATATGTTGCTAGCAGGAATATAATTGAAATAATTACGGAAAACAATATAACAACATATATCATATTTTTAAAACACCTTTTTTTAAATCTGGTAATGTCTCCTTCAATAAACTATGGTAAAGAAAAAATAACAGATGTAGGCAGATATATAGAAAGCCATTGAAGATATTTTA